TAAGAAATGCATGTATCATGGTCGTGAAGTAGTCGCGAGAAATTGCAAAGATTTAGTTCAAGATTTTGGAAAATGCGGAACGATAATCAATAATCGAAGATAGCCATTTGATTGGTCATGGTATTGGCAGTTCAATGGCGTTTACGGCATGTCTGTATGTCTATTCTGTGATTTTATATGATTTTTTGAACATATGCCGTTTTTGGTCGAAAACTCAGAAATCATGACGTCACTAAAACCTCGATATCTCAAAAATTTTCTGAACGATTTTTTGAAACTTTGTCACAATAAACTTCAATTAAATCCCTACAGGTACCCAAAATTTGGCGCGCCTGCGGCGCGCCGTTTTTATGCTATGGCCCGGCGAAAAAAGTGGGGGCGTTTAACGCCCCCCCCAGCAACTCGCGGGTTAAATGGCGTGAATTGTGAAGCAGGTGGGCATAACACTTCATAACTGAAAGGATGGGGTAATTGGGTACCTGTTGCCGTTTTAGCAATAGCCTTTTTGTTCATCCCATTCGGCATTGCTTTTCTTTTTTTTTAACATTAGATCGACCGTCGAACCCAGTCGGCAGTCGTTCCTAACATTGGTGAAGACCCTCACCTGCATTGCTCAAGATTAGTGAAGGATCCTTCACCAATCTAAAACTTTGGTGAAAGGTATCCTTCACCAAAGAGATACGTTGCTACACCTATGACCATAGGTATGTAAAATTGATGCCCGGAAAAGTCCTGAAAGTTTGGTGACGATATCTGCAGACTGCAGTCGTTTAGGAGATAGCAACGGAAAAGGACAGAGGGACCGTTTCGACCCCCCCCCCCCGCTCCGGGGCGCGATTGGGCATTGGCTCTTTCCTGATTCGCTATCTCTGATCGGGAGCTTTTGCTCCCGTCCGAGCTCTGCGCAAGGAAAGTCACCCACGGTCACCTGGTTGCTATGGCGACGTAACAGCTAGTCGGTGGATCAGCTGATTCACCCGGCGCTTTTTCGATGTTTTCCGTGTGACTTGGATACCTGCGATACGTGTCTGGGAGGTCTGGGAAGTTAGGACGGGGAATACCGTTTTATTGTTGGTGACTACCTAGTAATTACGTGTTTTTGTTTTCAACAAACCCTTTGAAATGGCTTCAGTGAACGCGTGTAGGTGTCCGAGTGGTATTGCAGCTCAACGGGATCCGTTACTGAATGTAAAATCTGAGCAATGCGGCGACATTCGAAACATGGACAGCTGCAGGCCCGTGCCGATCCCAGATCCTTGCAAGCCTTTGGAGAAACCGCAAACTTTCGGGCTCAATCTCAACCTCCAGTCCATGACAGGCCAAGACTATTCATCAGCGACTGGATGTCAACTTGTTCGCTCTGCAAATATTATAGAATGGGATCAAATGAACGACCGCAAAGTGTTCGGAGCCAGATCGGACAAGGAGAACTCCGAAATGTGAGTATCTTATGTGGACAGGTCAAGGCCCGCTACAGACAAACATGCACCTGACTGCCTGAAGCATGTTTACTTACACCTCGCACTTGCAGGAAGGGAGGGGGGGGGGGTCTACCATGGATCCCCACATCTCGTTTCTTTCACGAATAACTCGCATAAAGAGTGACCGATCGTGAGGAAACTTCCACTACCACCAATCTATTATATTTTACACCTACCCTAAAAGTTTCCTGACCCCGGCCCAGCCCAGATGACCTTTGACCTGTAACCTGTTTCTCGAGACTGTCAGGCCAGGCAGGGTTGAGATTCGGCGTATAGGTCGGCGCACGTTGTCCGTAATTTTCTAGACTTTTTGTGATGAGAAACGTGTAACATGTGAAATGGTGTTTGTCCAATGCATTGTGGTCCGGATGTCAACGTCACTTGAAGATCAGGTCAAGGTCGGAGGCCTTTGGTGACCTCGGATGGCCTTATCAAATTTTACGATTTTGGGGTATTCTTATTTCGAAAATAAGCAGTCACTTAGACATTTGGCAAGTACCTAGTTTTGGTGCTCATGCAGCATACCTACTGTTAACGCCAGACCCCTTGAGACCCTAATTTTTCGCGATTACTTTTAAATGCGTGAAGGAATTTCAACCAAGCTCAGGACATGGCCGTTTCAAGACAGGCCGAAACTTTTACAATTTAGATATTTTATCGCCATTTCAATATTTCAGGCACTTGTCATTGACTCGTAATGTTAAATTTCGAGCAAGATTTTCATCCGGTGTGTAGAGGCTATCACCAGTCAGTCTGTGATACGTTATGACGTCACAGCTAAGCCCCGCCTCTGTGGTCTTGGCCTGCGGCGGTTTCGGGCCGGCGCGCGGTCACTCTCGCTGTGGCGGGGAGCGGGGACGGGCGACGGGCGAGCGGTGCCGAAAGCCGGCGGAGTTGAGCGTAGCGTCTTGGCTGACAGTGCCCAGAGAGCGACATGATGACTAAGGAGTCATAAATGCTCATTGCGCATTGCTTCTACAATGCGCATTGAGCATCCACCACTCAATGCGCATCAACCACTCATGTTCGCTGATATATATATTTTTTTTTATAAGCTGCAAATGACGGGCAGATGGCATATAACTGACATAAGGTTAGGAAATATTCACCTGTATTTAAAGCCTATGGCGTTGCAGATAATGCGATAATGGGATGTCGGATGTCACCAAGTAGCTGCCGATTTGTACATCGCTATGCAACCATCGAACAACGCAATAATAAGTTAATTGCCTGAGCTTCACATCATACGGCTCGCTCGTATTTCAAACAGATACCCTACATCGAAAATCGTATTTGTTAGGAATCGTTAACGTTTGTTCGAAGCACGACTGAGTACCTAGTAGGTTGAGGAGTGATGGTCCTCTTGGTCCTATATACAAGAGTCAACAAGAGCCTAACATTTACTTGACCGTCTGCTGCAATTGACTCATAGCACGTGAAGCGTCAGCGAAATTCATAGTCCTTCACAGATGGCAGGGGTGTCGTTTGTACAGAGGTCCCTGATGGGCACGGGTCAATGCCGCAGTCGTGGGCGGAGCCTAATGTCATATGACGTAGAAAGCCTCTATCCAGGATGGAAAAACAGTTAACATTACGAGTCAATGACAAGTGCCTGAAATATTGAAATGGCGATAAAATATCTAAATTGTAAAAGTTTCGGCCTGTCTTGAAACGGCTATGTCCTGAGCTTGGTTGAAATTCCTTCACACATTTAAAAGTAATCGCGAAAAATTAGGGTCTCAAGGGGTCTGGCGTTAACAGTAGGTACATAATGCGAAGCTGTCAGCCTGACACCTTATAGGTACTATATGGATAGCTGGCGAGAGCCCTACTGGTTGACCCGACCTGACCTGACCCGACCTACCTCAAATGCATGAATGCATCGTCTTTGATCAAAATCAATGTAAAATTCGAAATCAGGTCCTCGAAAAAGTATAACAACCTCTTTTCAAGAAATTCTAGTGGGTATGTCTAGATTTTCCCGACGTTTAGGTCGAAAAAATCGGGACACTTCCGGTTTTCGAAGTTTTGGAATGCCAGGGAACGCAGCAGTAGACAGCGAACACCATTTCGTATTGGCACATCCTGTATTTTTTTCAAGATTTCCGAGAGCAACCTTTCTTATCAGCATCATTTTCATAACTATTTTTTTCAGCTTTATGTTATCCAAATATGTCACACCCCTCTCGGGACTTGAATGTGAGACTTCGATCCAGCCTCATATCGTCGCGACCTTTACCCAGCAATTTCTAATGCAGCCTGCGCGCTTCAGCCTCGGAATCTTGTACTCTCTGCACTTGCAGCGCCGCTGTTTATTGCCATTGTTGTCTGCGCAGTGAATGTTTGCATCGAGCTCTGATGCGGTGCTGGCTGACTGCGTGTGAATCGCCTCGCCTGGTCTGTCTGCCTGACTGCGCGCCGGGCCTGTATTGCTCGTTGGTCACAGTTGAGTTGACGCTGCTCGGCAGCCCACCTCAGCCAATATCGGCGTGTAGGCGACCCGCCGCCTGTCCCCCGTCCCAGACGGATCCGGATAGCCGACACCGTTATTGGATGCCGAAGGACAGATACTGGGTGCCGCCGGTGCACCGGAGCGATCACGCCCCCGAAGAAGCAGTGTAGTCATATGTGTGATTGGCCCATGGATGGCTCAGACCTAGATTTTCAGGCTGTCGCTATCAGGGGTAGCCAGTAACAGTTGGTAGCATTAGGCCAAATGGGCGCTCAAAAACTACTATCCCATAGGGTTTGCATGTTAAATCGACCTTTTTCAAGCGAGCCCCATACGTAAGCTAAAAGAAAAAGTGCCAATATTATTGTGGGGAAAGGTAGTCTCAAGCTTCCTCTACAAACTTTTAATCTAGCGTTTTTCGATGCGGGGGCCATAACAGGTCCAAAAAGCATTGGGCGCTGCTAGAGGTACCAAAAGCCCCTCCATGAGAGCACTAGTTCCTGCGCATGCGCACATTGCCTCAACCCTGTACTAGCATAAGTTGGCGATACTGCTCACGGACTCGATCAGCCAATGAGCGTCCCCGATTTTTTTAACAGATGTCGCTAGCATCACGTAAATCCTGCTTGCGAACACATTTCACGAATGAAACAGCTGCGCCATTTCCGCCTTCCATTGATTCCTTCCATCTTAGTATCAACTATAGGCTTTTCCACTAACTTTATGCTAAGTTTTAAACTATGGTTAGTATGTTATTTCTGGTTCATATAATTTAAAAATAACTGCTTTATGAATGTGGCTTTTCTCGTCAGAATGGAATACTCTATTTATTCCATATTAAAAAAAAATATCACCTTCCATGTAACTCATCCAGGTAAAATGGGCGCTTTCCGCGTCGTTGGTGTACCCGTTGTTCTATATACCCTGGTCGCTATGGCCCCGTCTTAGGGTAATCAGCTTTTGGTGAATTTCGAACGCTGTGGGGGAGGGACATGTAGTGTACCCTGGATACCCTGTGACACACCAGTGGCTGTTCTGACTGTACCGTCACTGCCTTCTGCCCGCAGGCTGAGGGAGCTCAGCAAGCGTCAGCAGGACGAATGTCTCACCACGTCCCGACACCGTGCCGCCGACACCACCAAAAAACTCGGTACGTATGTAACCGCCGGGCCTCGGTCGGGGCACTGTGGCTGTGGTTTTAAACTGAGGCGGATGTTATCAAGTCAGTTTAATAAATATTCCCCACCCTGAGCTACCACATATCACCGTATCCCATTGCCATGGTGTGTTCGTTATTCATTGAAACAATACCGGCTGTTTGCGCTGTCGTTTACACAGCAAATTGTCAGAGTGGCTCAGTATTTGCACAGCCGGGCGTGTACCGGGTCGGCCCGGGAACCGGCGGCTCGCGGAAATAATGATGGACACACACAAACGCTCACATGCACAAAAAGACGGCAGATGTAGGGCAGCAACGGCCTGGATAGATGGCAACCGCAAGGGATGGACTTCCGCGGGATGTTTTTCAACTGCTGTCGTGGCCCTGAGGCCATCTTTCTATCGTCAGAGCAGCGAAGCTATTTATTTGTCTAATTTATCTTTCTCGTGACTCTTATACTGTCAGAGCTGTGAAATTTGCTAGATACATATCGATTTTCGTAAATCGTAAGCGAGGATTTTTGTATCAACTGTCGGACTCATCGGGTTATCGATTGATTTTTTTTTAGTCTTGGGATAATCTATCGAGTCGACTGACACAACTGCGAGGCTGTCCATCAGAGTCAGAGTTATCTATCGACTGCCACAGCCGTGAGCGATTGAAAAGCAATGAGATCCATCGGCTTCCGCTTACCTGCTGACTGTTGGGACCCATGGGCTCACCTATCTATCGACTGTGACTTGTCACAGCATGTGTCTCACCATCGACTGAACGGGCTCGGAACTTTCGGGAAGCCAGTGATGTAGTGCCAGGACGGACCGAGCATCGGCGACGGCGATCATCGCCTCGCCACTCGTCACGGCACTGCGTCGTTAGTGTCACACCGGCGACAATAATGGCGCGGAGGTGACAGGGATGGCGCGACTGTGACGAGCGCCACAGTGTTCCGGGCTGCATCGGGCACCGCCGCGCCCGCACTAAATGGCCAACTGCAGCTGCTATAACCTGGATGGCTCTCGGCTAGGTCATGAATGGATAGGGCCATCCATCGACTGAGTGGTTGGATGATAGACTCATGTCTCATAACCTGTTATTAATATGTCTCTGATTGTGGACCAGTCGGTATAGGTAGGGGAGAGTGGGGTAATTTGGCCGCTTTTTTTAGAAAACGATATAACTTAAAATTGACGACACATTTCTGCATTTTCTCAACGCTGGCAGGTGTTGTATTCATTTTACTTTACTGGACAGTGAACTTGAAATGATAGAGTAATTACTTATATTGAAATTGTGACGTATTACAAAGGTCTGCAAGGCGGCCAAATTGCCCCACTAGCAGGGTTATTTGGCCGGGGGTGTGGGGCAATTTGGCCGGTGTTAGTTTGCGGTCGGGATTTTCTGTTATATTGCGAGTCAGCTTCAGATTCAGCAATGACGTGTGTCCTATGACGCATTTGCCGCATTTTGGAGGTTGGCTCAGGGGTCACAGGGGTCAAAATAGCCAAATTAGCGGCTCTAGATGCGATCACAGTTTTTTTACGAATAACTTTTGAAGTAATCAAGCTAGGCCAAAACTTCGAGTACCATCGTAATTCTCTCGTCAGTCCGCATCGAAAGATATATGTGTTGACCTTGAGAAGTCAAGGTCAAAGGTTGACCTCAGGTCACGTTGCATCAGGTCGCTTAACCTCAAGGTCACGTGATTTCAAGGTCATCATGCATATCATTCGATGCGCCTTGGCGAGCTGAACAGAATGAGACCATTTGTGCGGCTGTACCATTTTTCTGTAAGGATTTATTAGCAAAAAAAAAAACGTTTGGCAACCTTTGATGACGTCACATGCTCTTACAGTTGACCAATCGGAAGTAAGGCATTAAAGTAGTCAAAGTTGGTCATGAATCATGTCATTTATGGTACAATTGACCATGAAAACTCGGCCGTCCCAGCATAGTGACCATGAGCGCACCGGCCAAGTTGCCCCGCTAGTCCCGGCCAAATTACCCCATGTTGCCATTCTGAAAATTTATGTCTATTAAGTCATCACGGCTTTACGGAATAAGATAAAATTGCTCTTGGAACCGCTGAACACCCCCAAGAATGGCTCTATAATATCTGAATTCGTTTTTAGCCCAAATACTACATGTTATACAACTTTGTAAACAGAAGTAAAAGTTACCATTTTCTGATGAAATTAACGTTTTATTAATTTTGAATAAAACTACGAGGGACAAAGTTTTGACATTTGTCCTCCAGTTATTTCTACCTATGACAAATGAATAGAGACTAGAGTTATTTCACTCACTTTTATAAGACATCGTACAGGTGGGGGCGGCCAATTTACACCACCGGCCAAATTACCCCACTCTCCCCTACTTATGCAACTGGTCCGCCGCATACCGCCTGAAACCTGCCGATCCGGCTGGGGCTCTGGCCTTATCCGTCTCTTACCTAGCCAAACATCTCAAGGCCGCCCCACACTGGACCTCGCATGAGGGTTGCGGGTTTTGAGTTTGCGGGCATAATACTAATTCATAGAGTGATTAGACCGTTCTTTATGGCAACTTCATGAATGCAGTGAAGCCGGAACACCTTCAGAAAATTACACATAGTCGCAATACCAGCGCAACGAACCAAAATTCGGCTCCAACGAAAAACCCGTAAACCTCGCAGAACTCGCAGACCTCGCAGCGAGGAAAATCGAAAGTTGACTCAAAATCAACTATTGGAATGCGACGCAAGGTCGCTCGCAAGCAAAAAACATGCAGACTCGCCTGTTAGATGGTAGTGTGGGCCACTCAGCTTAGATTGTATGATTTGAACTTGAATAAACCCGAAAACCCAAAAACTCGCAACCCGCATGCGAGTTCCAGTGTGGGGCGGCCTTAAGGAATGTGTCCGCTATCCACTAGACAGAGCTCCGGCCCTTTGAGGGCTGCGACAGCGCGGTCCGGCGCCGCTCGCTGTTCTCAGTCCTTTGCCGGCGATATTGGCTTTGTCGGTCCGGTCCATTCCGTTCGGGCGATTCCTCTTTGAAGGCGGCTGCCGGCTAATTGTTTTTGTGCGCTGCTGTCTTTCCATCGGCGGCTGTTGACACGGTAAATGTCAGGAGCTGAAGAGGAGGCTGGGGAGGGCGGATGGGGGGGGGGGGGGATCTCCGAAGGCATGGGATATTGAACGACGTGAGGGTAGCATAGACAGGATTAGAACTACGGAACATATCTGCTGTAATAAATCTGAAGCGCAAGGATAGCATGTTTCACCAGTTTGCTATTTTATTTTCATTATCATTTCAAAACATCTTTGACACCCTAACAGGTATTTTCCGCATTAACCCGCGCCCTGGTGGGGTCTGTTTATAACGCGACCTGGTGGGGGGGGGGCTATTTTTTGCCCCCCCTCGTATCTCCGAAACTACTGGACGGATCCGCAAAATTCAAACGGCGTTCGAAAGGCCTGTCAAATTTGTCGAGGAAAACCAAATTTCATTGACCTCGGGGTCACCGATGACGTCACAGGTCAGGTCAAAGATGAAATGTTTCACCGTTCACGGGTCTTCTAGGGAATGCGCTATAACACCGAGGAAAACGCATTTTGTCGAGAATCAGCGATAGGGCGTCAGTTGCCTAGTAGATATATTACTATTAGAGGTCACTGACAATACCAGGTCAGGTCACAGGTCAGGTCACCAAGGGTCACAGGTCAGGTCACATGAGCCCAACTTTACTAAGGTTGTGTGATGCATGTTTTATGGCCAATTTTTCATTTCCAACTCAATGGTATTGGTTATAAGACTATCAGGTACGGCTTAGGTCACTTTCTGGTGAAGTTCAGGTCAAGGTCAGGTCAAGGTCAGGCCAAAAAAGGTCAAATTTTAAAGTTGATAGTTTTGCAAATGGGTATTGATTCGATGCAGCTCGTCACGGGGAGTCTAATGGTGGTCTTTGTTTTGCGCTACGGGGTCTAGAATTGCTAAAAATTGAGTTTGAAAATTTGACGTCATCAATTTTGAACAGTTTTTTCGCTATAACTTCGCCAAAAAAAAGAGGTATCGATCTCAAATTTGGTATGTGGATGGAAGGCGGTAAGGACTATCACATATATTCCGGTTTTTGCGAAATTCAAAAAACTTTTTGGATTTTTCGATTATTATATGCAAATAATTTATTTTTTGATTTTTGGGGGTCAAAATCCAAAATTTTCAAAAATCCGAGATAGCAGTTTTGTAGCCCTGTTGATTCTACAGCTTTTATGTCTTTATCATTTTTCTGTATTTGCAAAGCTATAGGCCTGACAGCTCTTCCCGCGAAACCCTTTTTTAGGTCGAAAACGGCAGAACATGACGTCACTCTGACGTCATTTCCGGCCAACCTATCATAGCCTTTGGAAAAATTTTTGGTCACAATGTGTAAAATTGATGTCCGGGAGGGTACTGAAAGTTTGGTGACGATCGGCGCAGCGGTTCTGGAGATATATCAAAAAGTCTGGAGGGGGGGCAAAAAATAGCCCCCCCCCCACCAGGGCGCGGGTTAACTATTGCGATATATTTTGAGCATATCTACTAACTATTTTAGCATAATATTTGGTTTGCCTACGTACTTATTTTCAGGATGACCAAAATCGAAGATAAGAGTTTCGTAATTGGTGTTTGCTTTATTATGCCCTTATGATATGCTCGTAGTTTCTCGACACTATTTAAGTGTAAACCATTGCTTTATTGCATACAAACACTATTTCTTTTCATGTTTGTTTTCAAGACCATCGCTGATTATTATTTCATTTAATGTTAGGAAATGAGATTCAGCTGGATAACTGATTCAAAGTTCAGGACAGCATCAATTAACGCTAAAAGCATTATCAACGTTATTGATGCATTAATTTGCACCTCAATGCCGCACGAATGATAACTGCGTGATGCGCTCTCACACCTCAGCTGAAGTGCTGCCGTCCACATTAAGTACTGATTTAGCCTATAATTAGCATAAAATAGTGT